TCACAAATGAAGAATTTAAAACTTTGTTAAGTATAAAGAAAAAAATACTTTTACATTCAATCAATGCTAAGCGACAAAGCACCTTAGATTCATTTCTAAGATATAATCGTTTATCTGAATACTGATAATAAAGAGATTCGTTTGATATTAATATAAGTAATGTTTCACGTGACTCAAATATGACTATAATGAGTTTTTTCGTTATAATGAACTTTCGATAACATGAACCTTTTGATCCAGCCCGACGACTTCATCTTATCGAGAGTGACTGTGTATCTGTTGTATGGGAAAGTTTAAAGTTGACGTGTTTGTTGTTGAATTGTAAACGGTTATGTATCCAAAGTTTGTGGTATAAAAACAGTCCTTACGATAAGGATATAAGGAGAATTCTGATGGCCGGTTTGTCTGCATCATTCAGAATAGAGCAACGAACATCTCATTGGTGAATGAAGAAATTGCCTTTCCGGGATAAACAATAATAGCCAATAAGATGTCCACATTTTACTGCAACACAACATTGGTAGTTCATATCGATATCATAAAGCGATCCAAGTCTACAAAATTGTTTTATTGTCGATCAAACAATTATAGTATAGCGAACTCGAGAAAGAAATGATAGTCTAGCATCGGCATAATAAATGTGCTGTATTGTCAGTTACAGCAATTATGCAAGAATTGTAACAAGTCTTCGTACGAAATTGATGTGGTTTTAACGTTTGTTTCCAAGTCTCATTTATTCAAAGATTTTCGGAGTCTGAACTTACCATTGGACTGGAGCAATGTTCCGTATGCAATTAATTTGTAACACTGCCGATATCTAACCTATATTAATATCATAAACGTTATGTTAGTTGCGAAAGCTCTTTGACCCCCACTCTCAATGGAGTGGCTAGCGAAAAACCTCCAGGATGAAAATATTCCATTTTATTCATTTGATAACTTTACAAAGACACAATGCATTGGTTGGGGTGGATACGGGATAGTTTTCAAAGCAAGAGTAAACATATCTGAAACAATCGTTGCGTACAAATTTCTTAACTCGGAACATTACCAAGACGATGAGGCAATGATGAACGACTTTGTCAAAGAGGTTTGTATCTAAGATTTGAATGACTAACATTATTACTACAAAATATGCTAATACAAACGAACAATACTATAAGCTTAAGGTTCATCGTAAAGTCAATGACCATCCCAACATTATTCGATTCCTTGGAGTTAGCCGAGGTTTGTATACACGTCTATGTGCGAGTTTTAGCTATAGCACTCGCGATCCTGATAATTGCGTAACGGTACTTATGTGATAAATAATACTGTAGTACTAGTATACTGATACTTTTTTCTTGTTTCAACTGTAGAGCCAATGGATACACATGAACGCCATCTGATGGTTTTTGGCAAACAAGATGCCAATTTGGCATTGACATTAATAATGGACTAGGATATCTTCACAAGTTGGGCATTCTACATAAAGACTTGGTAAGCTAAGGTTCACACATAAGAAATGTTCGATCTAATTCATAGTACGGGTCTAATACTAACACTATTCAATGTCTAGTCTTCCAGCAATGTTTTGATTCATGCAGGCAAGGCCAAAATAACAGATTTTGGTTTATCTGATGTGATGATAAGCCAAAAAAGTAATTCATGTCATGATGGAAATTGTGCATATTTCGACCCTAGATGCTTTGATGGTAGGCCTTTTAAGTGAGACAAGAAATCTGATATATTCAGCTTGGGAGTAATATTATGGGAAATTTCCAGTAGAAAGCTTCCCTGTGATGGTCTTTTAACATACCTGGATATCCAGATCTATAGATTAAATGGTGGCCGTGATTCTCCAGCTGTTGGAACACCCACACAGTACATTGAATTATATTCACAATGTTGGGATAATGATCCTAAAATACTAATACGGCCATCTTGTGAATGTATTCATGATAAACTGAAGATGATTAAACACCAGCATAAAGAAAATAAAGAAGCTGAAGCTGAATTAGAAAACAAAGCACAAAATGAAAAGATTATTGAACAAGGGAATATCAGAGCACAATTTAGTCTTGGAATAGAACAATATGAACAAAAGACTATTGTGCAAGGGGATATTGGAACAGAATGTAATCTTTCTGTGCATTATGAAAATGGAGTCATAGAAAAAGATGAACAACAACAACAACAACAACAAAAACAGTTTTGGCAGCTACCAAAGAGAACAAGGATTCCCTAATTATACTTTTGACAATATTGGTTTAATATTAAATAGTAAACCAATAGAAAATAGTAACAGTAATACAACCATTCTCTATAACAAGAAAGGCACCACTAAATATAGATACACAGCTCGCACACACTGCTCAAGGAAACGTAAAAAGTACAAGATGATTATACCTGAGATGGTTATACCTGAGTATGAGATTAGGATAATTTTATCTATACTCAAAAAGTTAACGTATGCAGAAATCTTATGGATCTGGCGGATATCTAAGCCTGTTAGAGAGGAAATGATAACCCTTACAGACAAAATTAGCATTTATATCAATATACACACAAAAGATGTGTCTAAATATGCGTACAGACTTATGCTGTCCATAGGATAACAATAATTAGTGGATCAAAGCGTTTGGAAGGAAAGCTTGGATCCACTATTGATATCCTGTAATATTTTTACTTATTTAGTTTTATGATAACCTATGCATCCAAATGTGGACTTAGTTATGCATCCGATATTAAAATAAGATTTTTTAGGAAACATTTTCAAATATAAAACGTTGAAATTTTCAAGCAGACAACCATGTAATTCGTACGCTAACTAAGGCTTAAAAAAATAAACCATAGATATTTGAATAACTGCGTCCTATTTGTACAGTAATTAAAAATTAAAAATTGATGGTTTTTAATAAAGTTTTCCGCAACAATTAGGTATACAGTATATTATATGTTTAGTTATAACCACTTATAAAACAACGTTTTACTACTATTAACATTAATATTATGTATTATTACAGATCTTTCATTAGAAAACGTCACCACATTATCGAGTAATAGCCAATCAAAAAACTGCAAAACCATCCCAGTCCAAGACCGATAATAACTTTGCCATCCCATTTTAAACGTTCGTTCCCAGAAAACCATGATGGCCCTGAATCAGTAGCAGTGGGTGTAGCGTTTGGATCGTATGTGACTAACACCACCGTTGACGTTGCCAATAGCGATGTCGATGTAAGCGTGACCATGTCGGGATCTACTATCATATCCACGCTGAACGAAACCGCATCATCCTCGCTAACGTTGCTCACAAGAAGGCACCATATGGCAATGTTTGGAGGTTGGATGGATGAATCATTTTTGTTACAGGTATATACACAATCTTGGCTTTTGGCAACAAAAGAGCAAGAGATGAAGTATGAGGAAACTTTGTTCAATATGAACGACTGTTGATTTGTAACATACAAGTCGTTGGTATCTATATTTCCGTACGTTAAACCTAAATGAATAAAGCAACCCAACCCCTTTAAAATTATTATGTACTAACCATGATTGCTCCCAAGGTGTAAACGAATCGTAATGGCTGTCGAGAAATCTTCCGAGCTCAATGGAAGTCACAGCGTCGACGACTATGCCTTTTGTACATAACTTATTGGTAGGTGCAACTGCTATGTTTACAAGCGTGCCAAAGTTTGGTGTTTGACTGAACGTTTGGGCGGACACCGCAACAACATATCCTGTGTTTGGGAATGAGGAAAAAATGAGAAAATGAGAAAATGGATACGTCTGAAAGTTGCCATATATTTCAATAGTGAATGAAATTCTTACTGAATATGCTTGTCGGTGCTGCTGAACATTTGTACCTTTGGTTGAACAATAAAGGTCAAAATTTAAGATAAATATTATCATAACTAATGTGAATCATACGTATTTCTCTCGTTCCTTACCATGATTGTTGATTTTGCAGCACGACGTAGCCTGATATTTGAGAATTAACCTTATTCAACTAAACAACGCTATTAATTAGGTGACACTTTTATTATGGAGAGAAACACTGCAATAGATGACATTCTGCTTACCGATACAAATATCAAGAATAAAGAAATAATTGTAATTAGTTTTTGCATATTTGCTCCGATTTATCAAATGTTGTATTTTGTAAGGGGTATACCCCATATTTATTTGATAGAACGTTTCAAGTTAAGAACTAACCTTATTAACGATTGTCTCTCTTCTGCAGGGACAGATCTATCGGTTCATAGAGATTCTGCCTTTTTGAGAACGTGCATTTGTCAATCAAATTGGGAGTTGACGTCTGACAATGAGCTTATGCATAAACATGACTAATCAAAACAAGTTACTGCGTAATGGAAGAAAACTCCGAAGTTGTGTTTACAAACATAAGTTGGGCTGATGATTCATATATATAGTAACTTCACAGTGTTTACTTGTAACTACAGTTAATAACCCAACCAGGAGAAAACGTATCGCAGATGTTTGACTTTACTGCGGAAAACTTGTTTTCGTTTGTATCTGATACTTTTCCCTGACGCAGAAAAAACCAACGTATTGTCGTAGTCCTCATTAACACTCACCTAGGATTGCCTCTTCTGTATACTCGTCAATCACTTAATTGTCAGTTGGAACGGAAACTCGGTGCCCGGCTGTGTTGTGATACATACTACAAAAATGCTGTGCAACCGGTTATCATCTTCTACGACCTGAAAGATAAAAAAAATTGAATGAATGAATCGAATTACTTATACTTATTAATGAATACAATTCATAAACAAGCAGGATATAGCTGCATGTATCATATGGCATTACATTGCTGACGTCTGTGTTATTTGTATATCTTAGGATACTTGTTGCCTATTTTAAGCTCAAGAGCATATGTTGTTCCACAATGCTGTCTCGCAGTTAGGCTGCCAATAATAACAGTTTTTTTTCCTCATAAAAATAAAAAATCGCCAATTGCTACGGAAATAGGACCATTCAATCTAAAATTAATCCATCTCGTATATTTTTAAGTTTGATTAGGGAAAGGGTTGTTACAAATGATGTAATTATCCACTATTTATGTGCATAGCTTATCAATCGCTTACAATGTGAGCGCAGCAGTATAGTTCTAAATTGGTTCACGGAATAATTACTAGCCGATAAAAGTTATACCACAGCTGAATCATAAGCAATCTGAGCATGATAGCTACCACTGACGGCTAATTGGGACGGACTGTTGGGCCCCAGGTT